TCTATTTTTAGTTTTTTGAAGAAACTTCATACTGTTTTCTATAGTGGTTGTACCAATTTAAATCCCCACCAGCAGTGTATGAGGGTTTCCTTTTTCTCCATATCCTTGTCAACGCTTGTTATCTTTTGTTTTTTTAATAATAGTTATCCTAACAGATGTGATCAAAATCATTGTGGTTTTAATTTGCATTTCTCTTTTGATTTCCATTTGCATGGAATATTATTTTCCATCCCTCACTCTTAGTCTATGTTTGTCCTTAAATCTACAGTGACTCTCTTGTAGGTAGCAAATAGTTGGAGCTTATCTTTTTTATATACTCTGTCATTCTATGTCTTTTGATTGGAAAATCTAATCCTTTTACATTTAAAGTAATTTTCAACAGGTAAGGACTTACTATTACCATTTTGTCCATTGTTTTCTGTTTTGTAGTCCTTTTGTTCCTTTCTTCTTCTCTTGGTGTGCTGAACTGCATTTAAAGCAGACTTCTATCATTCCATCTGTTTTGAGCTCCAACTTTACCTTCTCCCAACTTCTAGAGGTTTGTGGGCTCTGAATCCCTGAGACTTTCTGGATGTTCTGTGATGAATTGCTTCTCAGAGTTCCCTACAGGAAGATAAGGAGTAAGCTTTTCAAGGTCTGCTAATCAGTTGCCTCTTGTCCCTCTACCTTCTAGCTGCCAACATTTTGTTGCTTCTACTAACCTGATCATTGCCCTTGTGAGTTTATGTCTTAAAGAAATAAAATTCTTGGGGGGGGAGGGGGAGCAAGGGCAACATACGTAACCTAAATATCTGTACCCCCATAATATGCTGAAATAAAAAAAAGAAATAAAATTATGTTTATTGTTATATGAGTGAGATTTTGAGAGGCAGCAGAACTACATGTACATGTTTAGTATGCTATCTTTATCCTGAACTCTGAAAGATATTTTAGAAAACTTTCACTGCAAAGGTATCTACAAAAGTTTTTTTTTTTTGCTTTAAGGAGAAAACCAACAGCTCTATGAAAAATGGTATTATCCTAGTTTTACTTGCTATTCAAAGTATAGTTCTAGGACTAGGAACCTCAGTATCACCTGGGTGCTTGTTAGAGATATAGAATTCTGAACTCCCCACAGGCATATTGAATAAGAATTAGCATTTAAAGAGATTCTTGGGAGATTCCTATATACATGAAGGTTGAGAAGTGCTAATATGAAACTTAACTTCTTTTTTTTTAAATTTTTTTATTTCATGGAATTATAGGGGTACAAACATTTTGGCTACATGTTATGACTTTGCCACATCCCAACCATGATTTGAGATGTGCCCTTCCCCCCCTACAACACTCACCACGTCCATTAGTTGTGAGTTTACCCATCCCCAACCCCCTACCCGCAAAGAATATTACTATTGTGTGAGCACCTCAGTGTTGATCAGTCAGTGCCAGTTTGATGGCGAGTACATGTGGTGCCTTTTCTTCCATTCTTGTGATACCTCACTTTGGAGGGTAGGCTCAAGCTCTATCTAGGAAAATATAAGGGGTGCTAGATCACCGTTGTTTTTTATAATTGACTAGTATTCCGTTGTATACATATACCACATTTTATTAATCCACTCATAGATTGATGGGCACTTGGATTGTTTCCACATCCTTGCTATAGTGAATTGCGCTGCTGTAAACATTCGAGTGTAGATGTCTTTATTATAGAATGAATTTTATTCCTTTGGGTAGATGCCTAATAGTGGTATTGCTGGATCAAATGGTAGTTCTACTTGCAGCTCTTTGAGGTATCTCCAAATTCTTTTCCACAGATGCTGTACCAATTTGCAGTCCCAGAAACTTAACTTCTGGAATTAGAATAAGTTAACTCTAATGAATTTTAATCTGAGAGTTAAAGATCTTAGTACTTTTCCTTACCAGATTATTCTCCAAATTCTAGAGATTGCTGAGAGCAATATACAAGTTTTCATGAAAATGTATCCTTTCCCCCTTTATAAACCATGCCTATATATTTGAGTCAGCAAAAGGTATGAACCAAAAATTCCATTTCATTTACCACAAGCGATGTCAAACTGGTTATGTTCAGGCTTTTTTAGTTGCCTGCAGTTCTTGAGGTTGGTGATGGGATTTTGTAGATTGGACAGATTGAGTCTTCAGTCACACTTTGAACTGCCAAAATGAGAAGGTAGCTTCTCCTAGAGGCAAGGGATAGATTGTTTAGTTGTATGTCCAACATCTCACCCAATGATTAGTTAGTGCTCAGTAAGTGATTGTGGGGTGAGTGAATCAAAAATAAATAAGATACAATCCCTGCTTTCAAGATATCCACAGACCAACAGAGAAACCAAGAAGTAAGTTGGATAATTATCACACAGGGGTGACAGGTTCTAGAAATAGTAAGCCCAAAGAAAGGGTATATAACTCAGCATTGGTGGCAGAAGAAGGAACCAAAGAACTAAGCCTCTTGCTGACCAAAGCTTTGCTCTGACCTTAGTGTGTATCAGAATCACCTGGAGGGCTTGTTAAACCAGGGACAGCTGTGTCTCATCCTCAAACAATCTGAGGTGGGGTAGGCCTAAGAATGTGTGTTTCTAACAACTTCCTAGAAGATGCTGGTAATGCTGGTCTTTCAACCACATTTTGAGAACCACTTGTTAATTACAAAGAATTCTGGTGTCTGGACTCCAGCAGCTCACAGGCAGGAGACAGGGAATGGTAGGTGACACTTAAGGCAGAAGCCTAAGGAATAGGGATTTTATTGTGGAGGTTGTGGGGAGCCATTAGCAGGGTTTATGGAGGAGAGTGATGGATTCCCGTTTGCTTTTTGGAAATACCACTTTGGGTGTGGTGTGGGGGATAGATCAGAGGCAGGACCAGGTTGGGGACCAGAAAATGAAATAAGTGGTTTATCATAGCCCTCCAGACAAGGGATTATAAAAACTCGGAATAAGGGCGAGAGGAGGAAAGATCCCTAGGACTTGGTGGCCACCTGGAAGTGGGAGAGGGAAGAGAGGGAGGAATTATCAGACCTATCAGATTTCTGGCTGAGTGTGCGTTGGAATTGTGTTACTCAACACACAGGAAGAGGAGTGGGTCTGAAGCAGGGTCATGGAAGAGAGTAAAGGAGGTAAGTTGAGTGCAGGACATGTTGGATTTGAGACGCCATCAAGCTAGCTGGGTGGACCTCCTTGTAGACTGTTTTATTCATGGGTCTGGAGGCCAGGAGCAAGGTCTGGGAAGTAATATGGCCCTTCCCTCCGGCCACTTCAATTTGGTCTCCCATATTTTGGGTCAGGTATTGTATTTGTAAAGAAACAATATTAATATTATATAACCTTTAAGGACTTGAGAACACGATACTTTTCAAGATGTTTTCTCAAGAAAACACGTGTTCTTTTTTCATTTGGGGGAGCGAAAGAAAGAGTTGAAGTACTACTGCCAGTCTTCCAACACCAGAAGAGGTTAATAAAGCCACCCTCTGTGTGAGAGGCCAGTCGAATTAGATCTTAGGAAGCTTGAAAGGGGAAAAATCACTTGACTGGTCGCAGGGCCATATGACGAACAGCTGAGACTAATTAGCTGGATTGTGGGTTTTTATAGCGGTGCCTGATTTTGAAAGTTGATGGAGCGGACTGCTTTTCAAAAGACTCTTTTGAAAACGTTTATAAGTAGGCCATTCTGACTTTAACATTTCTCTTTGTCTTAATATTAGACAAAAAGTAACCTTCTCGAAGAGGACATGTGATTGGAAGTTGTCAATTGCGGAAGTGTTGGCAACTCTGGTCTCTAAAGTTTTAGAAAAATTGGACAAACGGTTCTCTGCCCTGTAAAGGTATGGTTTTGCGTTTATCTTTTTTTTTCCTTGTAGTGGTTTTGAGCTCTGCCATGCCAGTTTTCAATATGCTTGAATCACGTGCAATTTAACATAAATACCATTGCACATATTATTATTTTTCATGACAGACTTCATGATATCTGCTGAATTTCTTGGGATGAGTTTGAACAGTGCATTTTCAATGACCAGGGAGTGAATATGAATACCCACTACATTTCTTCCTTTCTTTTCTATACTCTAATAAAGTAACATAAGTTTTTATTCTTAGATAATATGTTGAATAAGAGAGCTAAGACACTGAATACTCTAACAGTCTTGCTTATCCTCTGGGGATTTTATTGACAAAAATTCAAGCTTATTGGGATTTTGTTTTTAATATTAATAGCTTTAATGGAGGAATGTGCGTGTTTTAGTATAAGGCATATTTCTTCTATGAATTAAATCTGCCTTGAAATTATTAGTTTTGTTAGGTTTGATAAGGGTATTTCAGCTATGTGAATAAAGGTCCGTATATTTTAGGGGGGAATAGTGAAGTGTGCAGGAGTGAAAGGTCTGGGTGATGAGTGTGCTGGGAGGTTTCATGACACAATTCTCTACTTTTGGATATTGTATTAGTTTACTAGGGCTGCTGTAACAAAGCACCATAAACCGGGTGGCTTCAAAACTGCGTGACTTTGACAACAGAAATTTATTGTCTCATGGTTCTGGAGCCCAGAAGTCCGATCAAACTGTTAGCAGGGTAGGTTCCTTCCGAGGAGTGTGAGGGAGGATCTGTTCCAGGCCCCTCTCCTTGGCTTGTAGAGGCCTGTCTTTGCCCTGTGTCCCTCATGTCATCTTCCCTCTGTTCAGGTCTGTGTCCAAATTTCCTCTTCTTATCTGGACATCAGTCATATTGGATTAGGGCCCACCCTAATGACCTCTTTTTAACTTGATTACCTCTATAAAGGTCCTATCTCCAAAAATTATTACATTTTGAGGTACTGGGAGTTAGGACTTCAACATGTGAATTTTGGAGGAACACAATTGAACCCACAACAAATATGTTTGAAAAATTTCATAGTATTGGCTGGGCATAGTGGCATTTGCCTATAATCCCAGCACTTTGGGATGCCCAGATGGGAGGATCACTTGAGGGCAGGAGTTTGAGACCAGCTTGGGCAACATGATGAGACCTCTTCTCTATAAAAAATAAAGGAAAATTGGCCAGGTGTAGTGGTGCATGCCTGTAGTCCTAGTTACTCGGGAGACTGGGGCAGGAGGATTGCTTGAGCTCAGGAGCTAGAGGCTGCAGTGAGTTATGATTGCGCCACTGCACTCCAGCCTGGGCCACGGAGTGAGACTCTATCTCTAAAAAAAAAATTAATATCACATTTTAAAGATTGGTCCCGAAATGCATGCAATAAACATTTAGGCCAAGTGCCTGGACTGCGGTGGATGCTCAGTATGTGAAGATGGGTAAGACATGGCTCCTGCTCACTAACTCGTGGTTTAATTGAATATATGGATCTAACTCTGAGTGTGCATGTGTTTACTTAGCTTCCATTGAGTTGTAGGCACTTTCCTAGTCTCGTGTCCCTGGAGACACAGTCAGGCTCCTGGCACATGGACAGACTGATATCCTGGGAGAGGCAACTGGAAGGGTTCCCTTGCCCTGAGTACCTCCAACTATAGGTTAAGAGAGTAGAAGGATTCTTAATGTTCATCTCCAGCCGTGTCATTTTACAGGTGAAGAAATCGAGGCTTAGAAGTGATAAAATGATTCCACTAATTTGTGTCAGCGACAAGGCATCCTGCAGGGTGTCCCGACTTCCACTGCAGGGTGCTGACCAGGAAACACACCATTTTGTTTTCTTTGCCACAAGCTCATGCTTTTCACCTGGGAGTGAACCCAGAGCCCCGTTATCAGAAGTCATTGTGGGAAAGAGCCTTGATTACAAATCGACATTCTCTGTCACGATTCTTAGATTATAAGTATCAAAAAAATGTTTTGGGAGGAGTGTTTATTCATGAGGGCATTTCGTCCATAGAACGAGGTTGGATTTAATACATCCCAAAGGGGTTTACCCCTGGTCTTGGTTGCTTTCTGTCTCTTGTCACCGTGTCCTTATCCTTCTACACAGTATTCAATGACCCTGCAGCCATTAGAATACAAACAACATTTTTCTTCTTTCTTGCTGCTTTTGCTGCCCACAAGACAGGAACTGAGGCAGAAATACAGCGGGTTGATGAAACCCTGCTGCCCAGGAGGATGGCACCATGGCAACCGGGCTGCCCACGTTCGTGGCCAGGGCAGGCTGCCTCTCTCTGCCGCTGTTTCAGCTTCCGCCCTCTCCAGACCTTCAGTACCTGAGTGCTCAAAAAGGAAGTAGTCACCTCCCCCGCATTTCTGTTTTTCCTTCTTAGGATTAAAGCTTCCTGAGAGATCGGGCCATCTTTTGCTATTATTCCGTTCTTCCCCCCTCTGAACTTGGTGGTTTTAGAGCCAGAGTTCAGGATATAGCATAGGTTGATAGCTGATGAGTCATTATGAAGCCCATTAAAAACAAAAGCTTATTATTGCAGGAGCTATTATTTATTTGCCCTGTCTTTGCAAGAGGATGTTTTTTTCTGCACGCCTGGTGTTGCTGCAGCGTGGCTGGGGCCCTGCCCTCTTGGCAGAGCAGAGGTCCCCTGGCATGGGGGCGGTGGGGGAGAGAGGCAAGTGGGTGATGGATGAGGCCGGGTGCTGCTTGAGAGATGAGCTCACATTGCTCATCTGGAGGCAGGAGCCGCTTTGCTCAAACACAGGTATAAATCATCCTTCCAAGAGTTGAGAGCATCAATTTTTTGTTGTTTTTTCTTATCTTCCCCATTTCATACTCCGTCAGGTTTTCCTTCTCAATGACATAATCCGAGCAGGGATCCTTTAGCTGTCGTTTAGCTAGATTCATCACCCAGCAAAGGAGAAAATCCAGATTGCTTTACGCGTGCAGCTCTGTGCTGTGGTAACCAACCCAGCCTGTGGGTTATCGCTGCTCAAAAAATCCCCTTTCTGGTGTCCTTGGCTCTCTCTTGCCGCCCCTTGTATTCTGGTGCTTTCCTCACTTTAAATGCCCATCTCATCTCTCCCGTGGCCTCTATGTTGGTGACTGTAAAATTCATAGCCTTCTTCTTCTTTTGAACTCTAGTTCTGTTTTCCAAGTACCAATTAAACACAACTTTCTGGGTGTCCCTCAGACATTAGGGATATTTAGTTGGTGGTGTCCCATACAGTGTAACATAGTAGTTGAGAAGGTGCCTGAGTTCAGATCTCGGTTCTGCCAATTCTGGCTATGTGACCTTGGGCAAGTTTCTTAACCTTTTTGTGCATTGGTTTTTTTCATCTGTAGATTTAGGAACTTTATAGGGTTGTCGTGAAGATGAAATGAGTTAATATTTTAAAGGAATTAGAGAAGTTCTCAGTAAGTATTAATTATAATAATCACCTTCTCAAGCCATCTTTTCCTCTCTCAGTTAATGATAATACCACTCACTTACCAAACTAAAAGTTTTGATTATCTTTAACTTCTATACTAGTCAGTTAAGAAATTACATTGGCCAAGTGGGGTGGCTCGTGCCTGTAATCCCACGACACAAGAGGCTGAGGTGGGAGAATCGCATGAGGCCAGGAGTTTGCAGCTGTAGTGAGCACCACTGCACTAAAGAAGTTATGTAGACTTCTATCTCCTAAATATATCTTGAATTAATCCAATTACTCCCTTCCTCTTCGTTCTACTGTCACTGACACACTGTCTCCCTCTCTCTCTGTCTCTTTCTCTCTCTGTCTCTCTCTCTCTTTAGCCACTTTGGACTGCTAAAACAAACTGCCGTAGAATCAATGGCTTATGAACAACAGGAATTTATTTCTCAGAGTTTTAGAGGCTGCGAGTCTGAGATCAGGTGCCAGCAGGGTTGGGTTCTGGCGAGGGCTGTCTTCCAGGTGCAAACTCCTGACTTCTTAGTGTATATTCACCTGGCGGGAAGATAGCTCTCTGGCCTCTTCCTGTAAGGGCACTAATCCCATTCATGAGGGCTCTGCCCTCATCACCTGATACCTCCCAAGGCCCACTTCCTTACACCATCACATTGAGGGTTAGATCTCAACAGATGAATCTGGGGGACACACAACATTCAGTCCATAGCCCCGTAGCCTCTGGATGCTCTGTGTGTTTCCAGTCTCAACGTGGCTGCCGTGGAGATCTCTCTAAGACACACATCTCCTGTTCCTCTCCTGCATAAAAAGCCTGTGGTAGCTTTCCATTGTCCAGAGGATAACACCCAAACTTTTTTTTTTTTTTTTGAGACAGAGTCTCACTGTGTTGCCCGGGCTGGAGTGCCATGGCGTCAGCCTAGCTCACAGCAACCTCAAACTCCTGGGCTCAAGCGATCCTCTTGCCTCAGCCTCCCGAGTAGCTGGGATTACAGGCATGCGCCACCATGCCCGGCTAATTTTTTTTCTATATATTTTTAGTTGTCCAATTAATTTCTTTCTATTTTTAGTAGAGACGGGATCTCGCTCTTGCTCAGGCTGGTTTCGAACTCCTGAGCTCAAACAATCTGCCCGCCTCGGCCTCCCAGAGAGCTAGGATTACAGGCGTGAGCCACCGCGCCCGGCCAACACCCAAACTTTTTAGTGCCATCTAAGAGTCCTTTCAGGCCTAGGTCCCAAACACGTTCCCATCTTTTCAGCCTCTGTCCTGGATATGCCCTCTCTTGCCTCCATGTACCCCTTTAGCCACATCCGTCTGCTGAGGTCCCCTCAACGCATCATAAGTAACTTTTAGTCTCTCATACCTCTGCAAGTGCATACCCCTAATCACTGAGCCCAATACGTGTGTCCGTTCTTGATGGCTTTAGACCTGCTCTATTTTTTTGTATTGTGAATATCAGACTTCCCTTAACAAATCCCGTAAAAAATGTTATACCTTTTGGATTGGTGTCAATAATGATTTTGTTTATAACATCTGTCGTCTTTAAAG